GTGTGTGCATCTGTGTGCATGTACATGTATATGTGCACATGCATGCCTGTGTTAGAGTGTGTGTGTGTGTGTGTGTGTGTGTGTGTGTGCACATGCATGCTTGTGTTAGTGTGTGTCTTTAAAATGAATGCTTGTGTGTGTGTGTGTGTGTGTGTGTGTGTGTATCTTTGAATGAATGCTTGTGTTTGTGTGTGCACATGTTTGCGTGTGTATGTTTGTGTTGTGTGTGTGTGCATCTGTGTGCATGTACATGTATATGTGCTCATGCATGCCTGTGTTAGAGTGTGTGTGTGCGTGTGTGTGTGTGCGTATGCATGCTTGTGTGTGTGTGTGTGTGTATCTTTGAATGAATGCTTGTGTTTGTGTGTGCACATGTTTGCGTGTGTATGTTTGTGTTGTGTGTGTGTGCATCTGTGTGCGTGTACATGTATATGTGCACGTGTGTGTGTGTGTGTGTCTTTAAATGAATGCTTGTGTTAGAGTGTTCAAATTATGTGTGCACATCTTATGTTCCACATGTATATTTTAGGCAATAGTCACATAAATAAATAAATACATGCAGAAATTGACAGAACTAAACATTGGCAGCTCTGACCCAGACAGGTGGATGTTTGAAGATCAGCAGTTACCCGAGCAGAGATATTACAGCTCATTTCAGAAAGTGTGTAATACACAGCGATGATGGCTCGTGTTAATGTATTGTGAATCTTCATCTGGTCTCTGCACAGTGTGTGTGTGTGTGTGTGTGTGTGTGTGTGTGTGTGTGTGTGTGTGTAGATGAGCATGAATGAGTAGAGCAGGTACTTCAGATGAGTCACAGCTTTATTTCCCCTCACATTCACTCCAGTGACCTCCAGCTCTTCACACACACACGCAAACACACACTCCTGCGCTCCTCATTCAGACTCCCATGCTTTCATCTTTTACTTCATCTCTCTCCATCATCTCTCTGCCGTTTCACACGGTCACACTAATGTCTTTCCCTCTGTACATCTGTCTGTCAGGTCAACACACACATGCACAAACATATTAAACTCACGCGCACACATTCAGATTCACAGCCGGTGCATTAAAAAAATGATCATGCACACACAAATACAGAATAAAACTGTGCAGAACTCACACCTGATGGATTGAGTACAGCAGAAAACATCCTGTCAGGAGCTTGTTTCCTCACAAACCAACTCAACCTGCCTGCAAACACCTGACAAGGCAAACTGATTGATTCCCGACGACTAAACACAGCAAACACACACATGATGAAATCAAAACGTGATCCTGAATGTCAGCGGAAACAATGTGAGGTGTGTGTGTGTGTAAATTCAGTGTGCAACAGTGTCCATCAATGCTTCCATGCTGACCGTTCAACACTGCTTTGCTTTATCCAGAAGAGAACCCGTGGGCTTTTCAACTGTATTTCACATTTACAATGTGATTTTCTCCAGAAACAAATCACGAAATATGACAGAGCTTGTGTTTTACAGTCAAACACACACGCTGAATGGATTAATTCACTGAAAACTGGTCTATGATCCCCGTGTTTTTGTTTGATTTTCTTTACCTTATCATTATTCTGGGTCAATTGATTGAGTGATCTTAATTATTCAATAGCTGAAGCGAGCACTTTAGCTGCTTAAACTGAAATTGAACCCCAAAATATTGACATTAATGCAGTAAGAGTAGTAAATCAATCACATCTATTCAAATACATGCAAGTGTGTTGTGAAGTTACACAATTTAGGCAATTAAACAATTGGGTTACACAAATTAAATACTGAAATTAAATATATTGTTAAATACTTCAGATAAATAGTGTGTTTTTATTGATTATTTGGTTAATTTCTATTCAAAGTCCATTGGTATTTCCCTGATAATTATTTTTCTTGTTAAAAACGCTTTAAAATTGACATTTCAAGATTATTCCAATCAAATCAAGGCAATAAATAAGTTAGTAATAAATATTAAATAAATAGTTAAGTCAGTCTGACTAAATCATTTTTTTTCAGTCAGTGTAAATACTTACAGAAAGAAGAGTTTGTAAAAAAATCTTTGGTAAACTATCTTATTTTGTATAGTTGTTGTAACTTCCTAAATAATTGCTAAGAGATGTCAAATGAAGCTTTAAAATAAAAAGAAAAAAAACATTTAATTGAATTATTAATTAAATTTAACTTAATAAAAAAAACAATACAATCAAATTAAATTAAAATTAAAAAGAAAATTAAACTAAAAAGAAAAAAAATTATAAAATTATATTTTAAAATTAAAGAAAAGAAAAAAAATAAAATACAAAAATTAAAAATATTACTAAACTAAATACCATTAAACTATTAAAAATAAAGTAAATAAAAGACCAAATAATAAAATTAAATTTAAAAAATGTAATTAAAAAGTTTTAAAAATCTAAATAAAATATAAAGTTAAGTTAAATTAAAATGAAAAAATAATAAAAATAATAATTATACATTTTAATAATTAAATAAATATATATAAAATTATTTAAATAGTAATTATTTAATTTAATTTAATAAAAAAAACAATACAATTAAATAAAAAATAAATAAATAAAATAAAAATAAAAACTTAAATTAAAAAGAAAAAAATAATTAAATTAAAATAAAAAATTTAAATACAAAATAAAAGAAAAGAAAAAAGAAAATAAATACATTTCCCCCCTCAAAACTTTGCTGACTCCTGCTTCAAATGATTTATCATTCTTCAACTCCAACAAATCAAACAACATATTGAAGGGCTTAATTTTGTTTTTTAAATGTTGAATGTGAAAACAACACAAAATAAACCTCATTATTGAATTTGCTCAGCGTGACTCATTTTTCCAGCACGGGTCACATATGAAATTTGTAAAAGCTCCATTTAGCGGATAATGAATGACTCTTTACCTGAGCACAGAGTATGAAATTGCCCTTTAGAAATACTCTGAGTGCCAAGAACACTCTGAGCTCATCTGACTGCGCTTTACTGACTCATTTCAATACACTCAACAACCCACTTGTTTGCATTTGTTAATAATTTGGGGACAGTTTTAATTGAAGAGAAGGCAG